TGCAGGGAAATTGGCAGTGAAACGTAAAAGCTGATGCCATCATCAAATTATGTTAACACCACTGAATAGAGTTTCCATTTAAAGGCCAACAATACATAGCCAAAATTAAGTTAATATTTTTTACTTTCCAAAACTATTCTACCACTGCTCAATATTTACCAAACACTAGGGCTAAGCCATTCTTCATAATGACTCATTTCTATCTGAATCCCTTTTTTAAAAAATTTGTATAAGAGAGACCATTTATGTACCCACTCTGACTTGTAAAAAGGCTTACTAATATTAGTTTTCCCAATGAGCAAAAAAATCTCATTTTGGTTGGCATTTGTGATTTTGTTTTCACAGATAAAGTACTTAACAAAGTAAGTGTGAAGCAACATTACCAAATCTGTGTGTAGACATACCATAACATATTTAGATGTTACTATTTCTTTAAGTATTAGATTTATTTCCCCAGTGTTTACATGACAGTAATGGTTTGATGATATCTTGGTATAGTGCTGTCAAAAAATAAAAGGCTGCAGACAAGGAAAGGGGATCCTTTCTCGTAGCGATGATCTGGCAGAAGAAGGGATCGGTGGTTTCAATCTGTGTGCTTCTCCACTGCTGGCAGACAGTTACTTAGAGCTGATTCTGTGTGGTTTGAAGGACTAAGTATAGACACGTTCAAAGAATAGATATCAATGTCTTAAAAGCCACTCATGGGATAGACAACAGCTTCTTTAAGCCACTTAATTTTTTGTCTGGAAATTAATATTTCATTATTCCTTAGAGCACTTGACAGAGTCTTCAAGGCTTGAAGATGTATAGTAACCAGCATGCAAACGAATATTAAGCTGTATCTTCAAAACCCATAGAGAGAAGGTGTTGGAACTAAATGCCTCAGCATATAACTAAAGTAATTAACAGTGGTAGGCAGATTTAATGCCCTCATGGTTTATTTTAACTAAGGCCAAAGGTAGGGAGGGGCATGGCAGGAGAAGAATTGGATTCAGTGGGAAAGTAAAATATTAAATAAATAAATGTCAGTGTTGCCCATGTCAGGAACAGTGGCTCCCTGCTACTTTCTGAACTATCATGCTCAAAGCTGTTGATTTAGGCACCTGCTGGTAAACACGCTTTTTTTACAACCTTGACTCATCCATATTTCACACAAGAGACTTCATAAAAGGAGAAAACTTATAATTTTATGCCACTAAATTCAAGATTGCCAATTATTTCTTTATTGAAATTTTTGCATCCTTTACTAGAATAGGTATTCGTAGCTTTATAGACCTTTTCTCTTTTTTTCCTCAATTGTTCAGCTTAAATTTATGAAGCCCTAAGAGTTTCTTCCGGCACAACCCACAGAAACATCTACTTCAAATACGCAGTGACTCAATCAGTGTAATTATTTCCAGGAACAAGCCACAAGTTTGAGAATTTATATGCTTTAATAATTCTGCATTCTTGGATAGTTGAATGATTTTCAATGGATGAAAAATAATGATTTTTCAAGTACAAAATGTAGAGGGATATTTAAAGATTGCCTTGCAGATTACTTGTACATTCAGAGGTATAATTTTAACTTTTCTCTGCGTACAATCCAAGATTTAAAACTTTCCAAACCATGTCAATTACATGGTTTTATAACACTATGCTAATGTACATAGCAATAGAGAATTTCAACCTAAATAACTACACAGTGAAGCTGCTAAAATGAAAGTGGGAAGGTCTATGAGGCATGATATTTTGACCCCCAAGGACCTAAGAGCAGTGACTATGAATGGAAGAATGGCACGTTATATTGCCTTCCACAGGTACTATACTCTGTCTTGATATAGTTTCACCTGGTGTTAAGGTTTAGACTATACTGCTTGGTCAAAGCTTCATGTGTTCATGATTGGATCATGGGGCGTGATACTCAGTGGATTATCCCACTGATGAGTTTATAGCTAAACGTGATGTTGGGAGGTAAAGCCTTGTTGAGGTGGGGGTTACTGTGGAATAGCCTGGAAGGGTATGAAAAGGTTTCAATCTCCTCCATTCATACCTCCCTGCTCCCTGCCCCGTGCCACAAGCTCTTTCTCCTCTACCATGTCCCTCTGCTATACCGTCTGCCTCAGAGCCAACTAATACTATGGATTGAAATCTTTACAAACTTTAAACCAAAACAAGCCTTTCTTCCTTTAAATTGTGGGTGTTGTGTACTATGTCTCAGCAACAAGAATGTAAGGTGACTGCTACTGCTCTAATATGGTAGAATTTGTGGTGGTAGTCAAAATTGAGATCAGGAAATTTTTTCCGTATTCTGATAATGGTTAGGACCTAGAGAAAACTTATTTAAAGATAGGTCAGGAAGAAGCTGGCATTTTCTACAGAGCTAAGAATGATCTTAATGAGCCTGAAGAGAAGAATGGAGACCCTAAAGGAAGAGAGGGAGTTGCCAAATCTTTGGCTTTTGATAACTGAGAAAATGGCCCCGTAGTTTTGAGTAGACACAGCACTTTCCTCTTTAGGATATATCATCTAAAAAGCAGAGTCAGGGCTGGTTTTATCTCTGCAGCCACAGGAAACGTGTGGCAGAACCTGTGGCACAGGTTTATCTTGGGGTCCCTGCTGACCAAGTCCTGGGTAGTTCAGGAAGCTCAGTGGTAATGTCAGGTGCAGAAAGGGAGACCCAAATACCTTCTCTTTTCAGACACTGTACTTGTTATCCTATTCCTTACCTGTACAGCCATCACTCAGAATGTGATTACTCACTCAAGGATTGTTGAACAGAAAAATAACATAGAAGTACATGTCTAGCAAAGCTGAGAGGTCACTCTCTAACAGTGAAGACATGTTCAGATCAAATAGTGTGTGTCTAGATAAATACTGCTCTTATAAATTAGATATAGAATGTTTATAGTCTCCTTTGTATACACAGAACTATAAACAGTACTTCTAGAAATCATATAGCACAACCCACTGAGGTAGACCAAGCCTAATATTTTGAAGAAATTCTGGTATTGCAAAAGAGTTATGTTAACGGAGATGTTATATGGATTGAATAAAATTGCACAGCGGCTTCTTAATCTTACAAGTAACATTCATCTTCTGAGTGCAAAGAGAAAATAGTAAATATTATGGAAACTTACTTAAGAAAAATGAGATATTTAGGATTTTGAGAATATTTCATGAAATTATTTTTTTCACTTTTGGTTAAAACTGATGGCTAATAGAATTCATGGAACATAGGGAGAATTCTCCTACCACTGTATGAGTAGGTCTTTTCTCTAATTTTCTTCATCTTTTTGATCTTTTCTTAATATACAAGACCTCACATTAATTTTGCCATGTTTCCTAATTTGTGCTGTGTATCTGGGAATGGTAATGTAAATGTGTGTGTAAAATTTGATATTATATGCAAAAATAACTAAAATCCATGGAACAGAATCCAAACAGGATACAAGGATAAAGTTTTAAAGGATAATTTGTGGTAAAATTGCTAATGTAGATTATTTTGAAAAAAGTTTTAAATAATATTATAGAATCATTTCCAATCAATCTTAAGGGTAGATACATATTCATACAGCATTCATATGAAAAACAAAAGTAACAAAGTTCTCTCCTGTAAATGAGCTCAGGTGTGTCAGTTAACTTTCAATTACTGTGACAAAACAACTGAACATATAAAGAGGAAAAGTTTAATTTCGGATCGTGATTTCAGAGGTTTCAGTTGGGGTCACTTGGACTTGTTGCCTTTGAGCCTGTGGCTCCACAATGCATCAGGGCAGAGCACACACTGCTCACTTCATGGCAACTGGGAAGTGAAAAAGCGGTCCAGGAATGGGCCAGTGTAGAGGCATGCCCCCACTTTAGAGGCATGCCCCCAATGACCTAACTTCCTCTCATTGGACCCTGCTTCCTGAAGAGTCCACCATCTCTCTGTAGGTATTACCACAGCCATGTGACCAAGTCCTTAACACACGGGCTTTTGGGGAACATTTAAGACACAAACCTAGAGTCAAATTAGGTCCTTTATTTCTCTTGTATTCATTCACAGTGTTTAAAATTACATGTATGTACCAGGTTTGATCTGGTGACCAATCTGGTGACTATTAAAGCTATTATATTAAAATATCATGAAATTCAGATGCTACAATTTTGATACTCTACAGGTAGCACAATAATTATAAATGTTCTCTTTTATGTAAATTGCAATGCAAATGAGTTGAAATAGTGAAAGTCTGAGTTTCTATTTATCCTCAGGGGAATATGCTTTTATATTTTAAAAGCATAACAAAGCACAACAGCAGAGACCCTTTATCAAGTCAAATTTAGATTGTAAACTTCAAGTTACTGTAATGTTAAAAACACAGCATAGCTTGAAAGTAACACAACAGAAAATCAAGGCAAGAAAACAACAGTCTTGTCAGTATTTTAGGTAAAATATTTTGACTTAAAATCCTCAAGAGGGCAAAAATAAAGATATTGGAATATAATCTCCACATACTAATGTTCATGAGCTAACAGCAACTTAAGAGACTCAAAAACCCATCTGAGTCCCTTTATTTTTCACCAATATGTCTGTCCTTTCTCAATCACTGAGCAATACATTGCAAAGAGGGGATACAATGAACACATTTTTTCAAGATTCATATTGATAGAAACAAAACCAAGTAAACTCGTTTGTACTTGCTAATGGTAAGCCACACCATATTGTATTCTAGCTTTTCTTGATGTATCAATTTCATCGCTTATTAGCATAGGATCCCTTTTTAAAAAGCAATTTTACAAATCCTTTGAAGTCCTGAAACTTTACATCTCAATTTTCATCTGTTTTTGTGACTTAAGAATATGCAACATTTTTTAAGTACTGTGGAAATGAAGTGCATAATGATTTCAGATGAACAATGAGAAAGAAACCTGAGTACTATGAGTTTAAATGTCAATAGATTAAGCTCATCTTGGTTTGCAATGCTACATTTTCAGATTCTTTGTGAAGAGAAATCTCCTTTTACTTTACCTCTCTTTTTTCATACGATTTAAGAAATCCTCCCAAGATATTCCAAGCTCCTTTTGGGGGCTTTCCATAATGACAGCTCCAGGCTGTGACTTCAGGTGACAGTGAAATCTTCTTCATAGAAGTCAGTTGAAATTATGCCAGTAGTAATCATATTGAGTTTACCTTGAGAATAGATGGAGCAAATAAATATGTATAGGATCAACTTTTACATTCAATTAAATATTTGCACTTTTTTCCCAAATAATTAACATGAGGATGAAATTATCTTGTGAAGCACATTATACACATTTATATAGTAGATATTATTTGCTAGCAAGAAATTATTGCCAGGCATATGTAGAAGCAAATCCTAGGAATGACACATTTATAGTAAGCATCTGTATGATTTAGTAAACACAACTACATGCTTTCCAGAGTAAGCAAAAATGTAAATTCTTTAAATGATACTGAAGAATTAAAATAGGCACACTTTGTATATGCATGAAAGAGAAAACATAATAATGAGTAGCATGTTTTGAGACTGTAACATAAAATGATTAAAATACTAACAAGCACCTATTTGGGACATATATATTTCCTCATATTTTACAAAAAGGGAACCTTAGACAGGTAGGTAATTTAGTAATTTTCAGGGATAAATGACCTGATAAAATTTAAGACCCAATCTTAAAGACTAAGTCAATTATAATAACAGCTAACACCTAGAAAATACTACGTTGAGACACAGGGCACTATTCTAAGTACTTTCTGTATATTAACTCTTACAAACTTTATAAACTTATAAACTGTCTTTTGTTCTTGGTTCTATTGTGGTCTTCATTTCACTGATGAGGAAACTTAAACACTGGGTGATGCAGTAGACAGGGAAAGTCAAACAGCTAATAGATGGCACCAGAGATTCAAAGAGAGATACTGGCTCTGGGGTTTGTATTTACCACTCTTTGCTTTACATGAAGATTCTTCAGTTTCTTTCTTTCTTTCTTTCTTTCTTTCTTTCTTTCTTTCTTTCTTTCTTTCTTTCTTTCTTATTTATTTTTTGGTACTGGGAATCAGATTCATGACCTCACACTTGCCAGGCAGGTACTTGCACCACTGAGCTATACCCCTGGCAAGGTTCTTTAATTTAATGGGCAAAAAATTATATGTACTGCTTCTTCTTAAAGCCCTAACATAAAAATTCAAAGAAAGCTAATGTTGCATGTTTCTTGGGATATCCTGTGCTACTCCTCGCTGCTATCTATGAGGGACTTCATTGCCTCAGAAGCCTTCACATTTGTAAGATTTCTGTTGTAGTCAGCATTAGCTAGGGAATAGATTTAGTACAGGACATATAATTTATAGGATTATTTTATGTCACCCAAAAGTCAAATGCAGAAGAGTGCAAGAGATCTGTCCTCACACTGGAGACTCAAAGAATCCAGCTGAGGGCCTGGATCCCATGGAACTGCCCTGCACAAGTCCAACTGAAGACCTAGGCTCCATGGCAATGTCCTCTGCGGGTCCAACTGGAGGCCTAGAGCCCAGGGCAATGTCTCATGCAAGTCTGTATCAAGGATCTGCACTGAGAAGACCCAGAGGTCAGTGGTGAAAGTTACAAAGTCTGTGCCAACAGGATGAAGATCTGTGCCAGGAGGCTGAGGGATCTGCACTGGAGCCAGGAAAGTGACACTCAAGGTAAGGACCAGAGCTCCCTCAAAGAGAACCACAGTGACAGTGAGGGCCCGAGCTCCTCCAATGATAAGAAGAGCTGAGTTCATATCAGGACAATCAGAGCAACAATCTTCTCCAGGAGAAACAACAGTGCACCATCCTTCCCTCCTTTATGCTGTTGGTAACAGTCTTCAAGTGAGCCTTCTATGCTCAGAACCATGATGACTCAGTTCAGCTGTGTGTTACAAGTTGACCATTAATTAATCCACCACAATTTCCTAATCTGCTAATTTTAGGCCCCTTATTAAAGCTTGCAGGGGCTGGGGAATTAGCTCAGCGGCGCAGTGCCTGCCTGGCAAGCACAAGGTCGTGAGTTTGATTCCCGGTACTGGAAAAAAAAAAATTAAATTAAATAAAGCTTGCCTTGGGGGCAGTATATAAGTGAGTACTTTTAAGTTAACAATTAGCTTATATTTTTGAAAGATACTGTGTGAAATAAGTAATACATAAAAACACTGTTTATGAAGAATATTGGGAGTATTTTCTATGAAAAACCTGCAGTAGAGTTAAAACGTAGAAAGCAAACTACTCACACTCACGTCTTACTCAGATCTCTTTCCCAAAGAGCCTTTCCAAACTTCACGTTCTCACTCTGCATTCCCTCAGCCTCCTTCATATTTCTCAGTTTGCAGTCTCAGACTGGCTGAAAGGTGATCAGGTGCCCAGTATGTCAATTAAGAAGGTCCCTACTGAAGGCAGGAGTGTGGACCAGTCACAAAAGAGTGGAATGTGGTTCTCTCTGCTCAGCCACTGAGTGGATGGGAACAACCATCCAGGGATCTTAAGCTGAACAGTGTCTGCATACACTTAAGTAAGAGACAACCTACAGTCTACGGCCATACCATCCCAACACACCCAATCTCGTCTGATCTCAGAAGCTAAGCAGGGTCAGGCCTGGTTATATTTGGATAGGAAGAGACAACCTACAGAATGGAGGAAAAATGAATGGGGAATAAGGAATTTTGCAGCTATTCCTCTGATAGAGTACTAATATCTAGAACATAGATAGTATATTCAGTATAAGAACTGAAGAAATGAGAGCCTCCACAATCAAAAAAAATGGGCAATTGAAATGAATAAACACTTCTCAGAAGAAGAAACATAAATGGACAATAAATATGTGAAAGAGGTTCAACATCTTTGGCCATTAGAGAAATGCATTCTTTCTTATTCCAGAAAGAATGACCATCATCAAAAAATCAACAATAACAAATTCCAGTGATGCTATGGAGAAAAGGGATCATTTCTACATTGTTTGTGGGAATGTGAACTGGTACAACCACTATGGAAATCAGTATGGAGTTTCTTCATAAAATTGAAACTAAAAGGAGAAACTCTAACACTAGAAATTCCATCTGACCCAGCTATTCCTCTTCTCGGTATCTTCTCAAAAGAGTTAAAGACATCATAATACACTGAAACATGCAAACCATGTTCATGCCAGCATATTAAATACCTAAATTTTGGAAGTGGCCTTTATGTTCATACAGAAATGAATGGATAAAGAAAATGTGTTATTTACACACAATAAAGTACTACTCTGCCTTAAAGAAGGATAAATGAGTGATTTGTAGGAAAATAGATGAACTTTGAGACCAAATGTTAAGTGAAATTAATCAAACATACAATATTGAAATTAATCAAACATACAATATCTTAAATATTGCATGATTTCTCCTATATGAGAAACCCAAAACATAAATAAAGAGAAAAATAAAAGATAGAGGTTATGAAATGGAGGTCAATTCTTTGCAAGAGGAAGGGGGCCAAGAGATGAACGGAAGAGGAGAAGGGGATGGAAAGGATTAAGCTGTGTTGTATACACGTACCAGCTCCCCACAACGAATGCAATCAACGCACACTGAAAACACATACGAATAAAAATCAAATATTGGAGTCAAAATAACAGAAAAGAAATACCAGTTTCTAAATAAAATAAATCCAAAACAAATGAAAGCTATAGTGTTGGTGCAAAGTGTCATCCCTGGCCATGAATTCATTTATCTGAAAAAGATCTCTGACATTGGTTTTGTCCCATATAACTGAACGAAATATTATAGTATCTTTCCTACACCACATCAGTTCTTCACTCATTATTTATATCTAAAAGTGATGTTTTAATAATAAGGTCCAGTCAATCAGTCTTACTAAAATTATTCCATTATCATTGACCAGAATGATTTCAAATCCTGTGTTGTTCCAGTCATTGTGCCATAAACACTGGTAGAAATTATTACCACATTGTCTTTGATATGTTTCCAAAGCAATTTAAATAGTGCTTGATCTGTGATAAAATTCACGTAATAAGCATTATTATTCCTACCATCTCTTTGTCCCTCACAATAGCCTAAAGTAGAAAATATTATTATTCCAGTTTACAGATGAAAAATTGACACTCTGAAGTTGGGTAACTTGTCAGTGATTAATTGACTATTAGTGTAATTAACACTCACTGTGGGGGTAGATTTGAACAGGGCAATGTATAAGGCCCTGGGTTCTATCCTCAGCATCACAAAAAATGAAAAAACAAACCAAAACCACCTTAATTAAAGACCTGGTTGACTCTAACATATTTTCTATTTCTCTGTCTTTGTTAATTTAATAAATTTTTGGAGAAAAAAAAAACTGTAGATCTCATCAGTAAAGTACCTCCCTACAAAGGGGAAAAATTAGAAGAAATGAAGATTTCTGTACGTACCAACAGGTTTTCAGTGAAAACTACTTGATCATAGTAAAGATTCCATAATCTACCCACTGTCCTGCCTCATTTCTGCCACTAGAAAATGATTATAGTGATATTGAGAAAATGTCATCCCTTAAGTAAGTTAAGGGATGGAAGGAAATTATGTAGACATCTGTTTCAGCAATAGGGGGATGAATGATTCATATTCAAATTATAGTACACTGGGATTCAATGATTTGGGAATACTACAACCTAGAAATACTATTGGATCAAATATATAAGGCTATTCACTGAAAGCTTAGTATCCCATAAGAAAATAAAGTGGTAATGATTAACTAAACCAAAAATTAATTCATAATTAAAAAGGGAGTATAACAGCAATTAATAATCCAGACTAACTCAAGGCAACATTTCCAATTCACTGACAACAAATTATCCTCCTTTAAAACTGAGGGAGTATTGTCAATTCTTACCAACACTTTTTCTTTTTTCTCTTTTTCTTTCTTTCTTTTTTTTTTTTTTTTTTTGGTATTGGGAATCAAACTCAGGACCTTGCGCTTGCCAGGCAGGCGCTGTGCTGCTGAACTGTGTCCCTGGCCCTTAACCCTTCTGAGTATGAAACTAAATTAGTGTTTAGGAAGCTCTAGGAGCTTGAAATTTTTAGTATATGAGTAATAAATGTTAATGTTCTATATGACTATTAAACAAAATGCAAAAACACAAAAAGCTGTCCCTTGGGCTTCCCTGTTCTCCCCACCCACACCTTGAT